ACGCACGCACGTAGTGCGTGCGTGCGTGCGTGCACGCACGGGCGCGCGCACGCCCACACACGCGCACAAGCGTCCCGGTGGCTGTAAGTCTCCTGTCGAGGCTCTCTTGCAGAAGCAATTGAGGCACCCTGCACGATTGGTGTTGGTGCCGAGGCTAAAGATGTCGCAGAATGTTTTTTGAACAGGCCCTGGACATTGTGCATTTGGATTACGTGCCCCGCCTTGCATGCCTGCAGTTTCGAGCCGGATTGTGCCTCGAGGCTTTTGAAGATTGTGGTGTGTGCATGAGAGCAGGTCCCCAGCCAAGGGACCTTAATCTCTCTGCTGCGCTTCTTGGCAGAAGCATGGGGATGTGCTTCTGCCGTTATGCCCCATCTCGGAAATTGTCAAACTCAGGTTATGGGGACTTCCCCGCAGGAAGACTGTCGAACAGCAAGCGCATGCCTCATTTTCTTTGTGCAGCCAGCAGCTGCCGCTTACGACCATGCTGTGCCAGTTAACTTGGCGCCAGTTTTACAAGCAGATTTGGATTCAATGTTGACACGGGGACCAGGCGCATGCAGCGCGTGCTGTTGTAGGCAAGGTGCGACCGTGCATGAGCACACCTTGAAGCAACCGGAAAAAAATGAGAGTGCAGTCACAGACAGTGCATTGTTTAAAGGCTGTCAGTAGGTGACAAACAATGCTACACGGCAAGGTGGCCTTGGGCGTCTCACCGGCCATGGCTCTGATGTGCCTAAGATGACAGCGGCAGCTGGGGCAGCTGTGGGTCTTGACAGATCAGTGAAGGATCGGTTCTGCGCAGCCTCTGGAAGCTTTTGGACCCTGGCTTCGGCATGAACCTGTGAAGGTACAGAACACAGCGATCGCCAGCTGCAAAATCACTTCCAGTTGGCGGCATGCCTTGGCATTGCTGGGTCAGATCCGATCAGCAGGACTCGAACTTTCAGTTGTCAGTGGCTTGGCACAAGCTATGGACAAACAGGTGCTGAAATAAGAGTATGAAGACGCTGCACGCCATCCTAATTCCGATTCCCGGAATGGTAATAAATTCTGATGTAAGGTTTTTCACTTATGGCTGTCAGATCTGGCAGATGGGGGAGGGACAGCAGGGAACTGATGCACCTGAGTGGGAATACGAGCTAGCACGAAGCAGCATATTATAGCCAGACAGCCAACAGGACGGAAGCACACAATGGAGTACGATGCGACATCGAATAGGAGGTGATCTCGATACCGATGAAGGCAGAATGTGCGTAATTTTGAAATGTCGGCAGAGGCCAGAACGGACGTGACGCTGGACAAGAGTCGGTGAAGCCAAACCAATTTTCTGGACAGCATATGACAGCATTCTATGCGAGAAATTCGCTAGCAGCATTGGGACTTAAGGCTATCATGCAACATTGTCCTGCTTCCGACCGAGCCACTGGCAGCTACAGCTTGAATTGGTGAGAGGATTGTGGCTCTCTGGCCTTCAACCCAATCAGTTGTCGACCCTTGCCAGCAATCTACGCCGAGTCAGCTGGTTTCATGAGTTTTCCACAGACTTGACTCCCCATGCCAAGGCTAAATGCTGCTTTGAAGATTTGCAGCTGCGCCAGTGCCCTGCTGGCGGCGAATTGCTTGAGAGTCGTGGGTGAGGCGCGCTGTTGAGGGGATGGCGGAAATCTCGGTCAGAAAACGAGGTCAGTGGCAAAGTGCGCTGCAGCAGAGAGGGATGGCGGCGTGTGCTGGCAGCGAAGCTGCAGAGCAATGCAAGCAACAATTTGGCCCTGCAAGATTTCGTGATTTCGATCGCAAGAGCAGGAATCCAGGAAAATGCGGCCACTCGAACCACGCTCACATCGATTCTGCGAGATGCGCAGCGTTGGCAGCGTGTTCTGCGACACTTCAGCCAGCTGCAGGGCGCTTTGTCAAAATGGCATACACCTGTTAAAGATGCTTCCACGCGAAGCTGGATACCAAATGGAAGAAAAAATCGATGACACTTCAAGGCATTTCAAGGCAGAGCCGTGTTCTGGTGATCCCAGTGCATTGGCTTAGGAAGTGTTTCCTTCGACGAAATTGAACTGCGTGCAGTTGTTGGAGCGGCGCCTGCCTTACGACTCCCTGCTATTGTCGATTCCTGTAGTGTAGCTTCGACAGCAGACATTGCTTACCAGCACCAATCCGCGCTTGCAGGTGAGTCGAGAAAGAAGTGCGTGGACAGTTGTGAACGCTTTGCTCTGCACTCTCCGGCAGGACCAAACGACTGCACAGTGCCGGACTCAGAAAGACGGTCTCTTGCACCCGAGGACCTGCTGGAGCCAAGCGGGGGGCTGATATCCAGCGTGACGTGGCGACAAAGGCAGTCCAAGGTCTCCGTGCTAGCACAACTTCTTTAAGGTTCTCGTAAATCGCGACTGCTGGCAGGCCCGCTCCTCAGCCTTCCACCCCGCAGGTGAAGCCACGGCTGTCTGCATTCGGAAAGTTTCAATCCATTCCAGGTCGCGATCCTGTTGTCGCGTTCTACGAACTTGATTCTTCGAACAGCAGTGGTGGGATTGTGCGCCCGGACCGGCCAGTGGACACGCTCTGTAAGCCGCTAGCTGCCAAAGTTTGATGGGAGGGAGCTCGTGTTCTGGAACGTTCGCTCTTAAGGTCATGTTCGGCAGATGCACGACACGAAGCTTAGCCCCAATGACCGGACTCTCGTAGCAGTCATCACGGCCTCGAAAGCGGGAATGCGCTGGTCGGGTGCCATCAGCATACTCAGCGGGAGCCAAGAGAGCCTCGGGAGCCTTGGCTGATCCTGGCAGCGCTCAAACTCGGCGGAGTCCCAAAAAACTAAAGGCAAACTGCGGGAGCCAACAACATCCCCTACACTGAGACCCGGTTGCAAAGACTCGGACTCGATGAGCACAGCCGTGAACCAAAGCCGTTAGCTTGAAACCTCAGAAATTGCTGGGAATTTATCTAGCTGTGACCTGTCGAAGGCTTTCAGTACTGCTAGCCCGGAGCTGTCTGACTGTGAGTGTCATCAGTTGCAGAAGAAGCAGCACAGGCAGCGATGAGTGCTTGCGAGACATGCACTGCTTGGTGGGCAGCCCTAGGCATACTCCTGTCACTTGGAGGCTGGTTGGTCCATTTTCGGGAAAATTTAAGTGACATGCTTGATGACCCATGACATCTCGCCACTCGCAACCTATTGCCTTGGCTTGACACTGCTTACATTGCGAGGCCGTCGCGTGCCGGCATCGGCCGTTACCTGCAATGCTGCCATATGTGCCCAACGCAGAAGTGGAGAGTGGTCACAGACTGTGGCCTTGCTGGAATGCATGAAGGCCGGCCTGCTCGGTTTGTAGCACTACTGCTGAACACACGAGAAGGTGATGGCCTTCCGACCGGATATGATGACCGGCGCCATCTTGCTCACCGGGGAAGGCCTTCAGCCACCCGTGTTTCCGAAATTTAGACCGAGACTGGGCAGGTCGGCTCGCTTGGATCTCTGCAATGCGGCTCTTCAGTTCCATGCGGTCGAGAGGAGTCGCAAGCATCTCTTTGCTGTCGCTGCTCCCTTGCTGCATGTTGTGATCCTCCAGCATCGCACCACGAGTCATGATGCCGATAAAGCCGAAGACCCGAAGCCGCCTCAGGCGGTGTGCAGCTCTTGCACGCTGGCGCATTACATGCAGCTTGCTTGGCAAAAGATGGGCGAGGTGGGCGTGCACAGGGATAGACATTCGTGTGGCAGCTAGCGGAACGAGCAGTCTAGACTGCCAGGGTGAGCTACGTAGTTCTACGGCACGACAGCATCATTTATTCGATTCACACCTGCCAGGGACATCAGCGAGGAGCTTGCCGGGCAGTTGGTTGATCTTTGCGCAGCCCTTCGGCAGGGCCAAGTGCTACAATCTGTTACAAGTACTGTTTTATTGCCGTTGTGGCAGCGAGCAGAGGGTCTCGTTGCAAGTCCAGGGTGAAGGTCCGCGTTGTAAAATAGCTTGGTTGCCTGCATCGCGATTGTTTGTGCTTTTGTTCGTTCTCTGCGTCGCACGATCTGTTTTGGGGCCGGATGCGAGAAGCACCCAGTCAAGATGCGCGATCTGAAACAAGTAGCGAGGTAGAAGACTTCAAAGCCAAAGCAGTGTATAGCATTGACTCATTGACTCCGTAAACGAGGAAGCCTCGTGGCGGCTCGGAGCTGCCATGGTGGTGGAGGCTGCGAGCTTCTCTTTGCGTCCAAACCTGATGACTTCGACACCGCTCCTGGCTGCGGCAGGGAGGACCTGCTCGCGGCAGACCCTGGTAGAAAGCATGTCGCCAGTCGTTTTTTTCGCGTATCAGAGAGGACTGGTGATTGGAAGATGTCCCTAGCCTTCCTGGCCGAGGTGCCGCGAATTCTGACCTGGTGGCCCTGTAATGTTGGGTTTGGGTGCAGCGACAGCTTCCAGCTTCACTGAACTGATATACCAGCAAATGTTCCGACGGATTGGATTCAATTGCTCCGCTGGTGCACCTCAGGCCTCTGACACAGTAGACTCTGTAGCAAGCTGCGCTGCTGCAACGGCCTGCACGACTTCAGCCTGTTGGAGGCTTGGCTGCAAAGACCAGTAGTAGTAGCCAACTAGTCCACTTGTCATTGCTTCTGCAGCTCCGTAACTCTGTAGTGAGCCGAGGCTGCACAGTTGTCTACAGCCTCCCTGCCCACCTCTGCATTCTCTGCCCCCAGCAGAGATTCGTTAAGTTTAGCCACAGGTTTACTACTCGCTCGGGTGTCTCCCTGGCACTGGTAGATTCCCAAATCCACGGAGCCTTCTTCCATTCTTCCAGCAAAAGCATTGCGATTGTCCCTATTTCCGGACGGTGTCCTTCAGGTCCTCTGCTCTTGGGCTTCTTTGCTCGGTGCCTTGCGCACGGCTGCCTCTAGACACTGCAGGCTGGGCCTACATGCATTTCCTTTTGGGTTCTCCTGTGCCTATAGGCGAGAGCACCAATGCCATGGCTCTCGAAGCCGGATCTGCATGGCAGCGATTGATACAGCAGATTGGACAAGTTGCTCGAAGCACATTTTGAACTTATCTGCTTCAGTTGAGAAGAGGTCTGCTCGGCCCGTCTATTCTTGCATTGACCTTGCTTTACAAGGCCGCGTGGCTGCGTGGAGACATTGGTTTCTGCTGCTCTGTGTCTGGAGCGTGCGAGAAGAGCTCTGGCTAACCTTCTCTCGAGGGATTGGCTGTTAAAGTCTTCACTTGCCGACATGCAGGTAGAGCTTGAGTGAAAGCATCCTGAACCATGCCGTGCGCTTGTCAGCTGAATTGAGCACACGAGCGACAACGAGAGAGTAGTTTACAAAAGTTACGTGCTTAACGAGATCGGTACCGTTTTGAATCGTGCATCTCTTTCAATTGCCGGACCGAGTCTTGTCTGACAGCGGACATCACCCGCCCTTTTGAACCTCACCGGTTCCGCAATTTCCCGTCTGGCCCGACGTTTTTGGTCTTTGAAACTTGCGCTTGGCGAAATCCATCCAATATTCGCGAGTCGCGCAGTCTCCAGGGATCGGCCCGCGGGCTTCCCACAGTTCGAAGGCGGTGGCCCTTCCTGGATGTACCTCCGAACGTGCATCTGCTTAGTCGCGGCTAGCAGTCAGTCCGAGTCTGAGAGCCTTGAATTTGGGACAACACCATCCAGCATGCGAATTGTGATCAACCACCCAAGGTCAACAGCAAACTTTCTATATCTTTCTCATCAGTCCTTGCAGAAAGATTTAGGCGGTGTGCTCGCATCGAATGAATCGGCAGCACTCAACCTTCGCAGGCTGGAGCCGTCCACTCACAGTTCCCTTCCAACATGCGAACCGAAATACAGACCATCCTTTCCGTGACGAACCTCCCCTCACACCGCACAGGACACAGGCGGAGCTGCTTGGTCACGACGTGAGAGCCACCCCAAGAAACATTGAAAGGAATTGCCTTTGCACGAAGGCTTTTGTGTGCATGATTGTCAATCGGGCCCCGTGCCGTTTGTCTACTCGCTGAAACACCCGTAGGGCGTCACCCGCTTTCGCTGGCACTAGGCTCCTTTACTAAGCTGCTCTCTACCTATCTACGTCATACCTTGGGCTCAGGGCCAGCAAGTGGGCGATGGCCCTCTGGATGGCGGCAAATTTCCATTGGCTCCGCGTTTCGGAAAGAATTGCCTCTTGGATTCTGGTGCTAGTCAGTGAGTGCTGCGCATCCACTGTTTGCAGTCAGATAGCCAAAGATTGGCAAGGCATGCAACTCGTGCTTGACATCTTGCAGACGCAGCGGTTGCTGGGTCGCGAGGCTAAAGTCTCAATTGCAGCAGGCCAGCCATGGATTCGTCGGAGTGCCTAGGAGCTGACGTTGCACAATTGGATCGGTTTCGGAGACGGCTTTCAAGCGCCCTAGCCGCATTTGCGCATGCTGAGCACACAGCGCCGCCTAACAGAAATTCGCACGAGGATCTTTTGACCTTGGCCTTGGGTATTGACGTGTTTGACAAGTGTGGCCGCGTCGGGGAAGTGGCTGGAGCTTGCGAGACCTTGCAAACGTTTGTTTTCGGCAGACTGCTGGCGACACTCGGAAAAGGGATAGCGTTCTGAGATCTTTAGTTGAGCCTGGTCCATGGTTTGGTTGGCGATCTTGATGCGGGGACGTGGCTGGGAGGGGGGGGGGGCGGGACAGTCCAAAAATAAGTTCACTGCCGTTGTCAGGTGGGATGTGGTTGACAACGACGCTGAGCTCATGGTTTTTCTCGAAGGTGCATTCATAAGTCCCAAAAGTTTGAGCAATGAGAAAGATACGGGATTGATCGTGAGCTTTCAGGCACGAACTGGCGAAGTGAAGGTACCAGAATTTCACTGGAATTGCAGGTGGCCGTCAGCAGGAAATTCTTTGCGAAAGGTTCTGCTTCGTTGAAAACACACCTTTTTGCGCCCGGGTCCACAAAGGCTCGTGATTGGCCGCCATGTCTCTTGCAGTCTTGTCCCCAGCTTTTTTCTCTGTGAGCCAACGGACGTGCATTACGTGACTGTCATATTCACGCACCCCTCAGGTTTTATCGGAAGCTAGTGTGCATCAGCATGCTGCCGAGTCTGTTGAAACATGCGATCCACAAGTGTTGCTGCACAACCACTGCTGCATCAATCGCTAATGCGAGGCATGTCGCAGGGGTATCCTGTCAAGCTCGAGTTCTACTTCTTCGATAAGGCGATGAGCGGTGCGCAAGATTGATGTGTTGCTTTATTTCATTTTATCGTATCTTCGGGATCTTCGGTTGACTTTGGACCCGCTGTACCGTCTGACGCTGCGTCGTGCGTCATAGGTGTAGCCTCGGGAAGCATTCAGCGTAATTTGTTCACGGCATTGGTGGCGGCTGGTGAGCTTGACGTGTATGGGCATTCCATTCAAAGTGCAATCGCCGAGCGAACATCGTCGCCCAATCATGAAGAACATGACATGCGACCTAGGGTTTGGTCTTCGCGGCATTAAGGGTTCAGAGTATTCAGATGGGGTCAATGCTTCAGCGTGGTTTGAGAGTTTCGGCTGAGGATTCTATGGCGGGAGTTGCATCAATAGATGAGGGTATTGGGGCCAAACTCTGAATCCTTGACCCTGGTAGCATCGCGAGTTTTGCAGCATGGCCATATCTTCGGCGGCTATGTAGGGTTCCAACTTCGCACCATGTGCAGCAGTTGGCCAACAAAACCTAAGCCCTGGGCCGGCAGTCCCGGTGAGAAAGGTTTCGCAGGGTCCAACACATGCCTCTTTTGAGAACTGGCATTGAGGAATTCGCGTCCGGAACCATCTCCAATTCCCCCAACAAGGAGGACACATGATGGTTGCACTTGATCAGAAGCATGTCAGAAAGGAACTTTGCGGGTTGGGTGAGGTGCAGCTTCGGGATCACGTTAAAGCATCGCGAGCAGAGCCTGTGTCCCAAGCTTGGCAAACCACCACATGCACGACATGCATTTTGCAGCAAAGGCAGTGAGTGAGTTGGCTTTTTCTCTTCGGGGACATGACTAGTACCGACCTCCAGTACACAAACACCCACTTCTCAAAGACAAAGGTTTCTGCACATACACATGATAAAAAGATACATACACATGCAATGTACATTGCCTTTGAAGAGACGGGGAGTGCCCATGTTGAGAGATTCACGATGTGACGCACATGTTGCAGAATCCGGGGTTTGTACACAACGACTTCAGGGCAGCCGGATCGGAAAACTGGCCAGGAGAATGTGATTCAGCCTGCCAGCAGCCAGTTCACTTGCCAGGACGTTGGAAGATATCCGCTACAGGCATGGGGTGGGCACGAACCCAAGAGGTACACTTTCTTGAGAGCTCTAGGTATAGTTCGTCACATTGATAATTTGGAGCTGTAGGGCACAAGGAGGCTTCGAAGGCTCAAGGTCGGAAGGTTGCTTTGAGACGAGGCAGATGCCGATGGACATTGCTCCATGCTTACAGCGCTTTCAGTGCTCAGCTGCCATGAAGGGACAGACAATGGACAGGAAGTCCTTGCTGCCGCATTTCCAGGTGTACCCCTTTACAACTTGTCGCCTGGGCGAAACTGGAAGGTCTTGGGCTGTTCAATTTGAGTATTCGTTGAGCAATTTGAGGATTTGTTGAGTTGTGCGACCTTATTCGAGGCCGGTGAAGTGCCCTGCAAAGGCGTTTGGGGCTCGCACGGCTACCTCAATTCCGTGGAGTTTAAATTCTTGCACTACCGAGGATGGACTTGTTGTACCACTGGAATTCTGTGGAAGGTGTTGGCGAGTACGTGAGCGATATCCTCAGTCAGACAGCTGCTGAAACGTTTCCCGATCAGTGAAGCATCACTTTCCGACAGCCGCAAGGAGACAGCAGAGATGCTTTGGCCAACATGCCAGGCCATGTGCGATTTGCGCAGGAAGCCTTTTCGTGCAATCCCCATGGGCAGGCAAGAACGGTCTGCCAAAAGAAGACTGGCAGCAACCTGAGCGTTTCAACACAATGCACTGGAGTTGCGAAGCTGCACTGAGCTACAATGTGTTCGAAGGTGCATTGCGCTGCCGGTGGTGACGCAAGACCGTGACTTCGGAGACCCGCGCAACTCCAGGCCTAATTCCTTTGAGGGAGATATCGCTTTGAGATCGTTTGTTTCTTCCAGGCTCATTGAGCAAGGCCTGAATGCCGAAGACCTGCAGCTTCTGGGAGGATATTGCTCAGCAATCAGCAACTGACATCACTCGAACTTGCTGGCCAATGGTGCTCTGTGCAGGATATGCCGAGGCTTTGCATAGCCCCGACCCGAGATGGAATCCGGATTTCGGGAACAGACAGCTGATAACATATCGCACTGCACTTGTGCAGTAGAGTCGCTCCATGTTGACGTTCGGGCTTGTCTTTGGAGTAGTGGTCGGTCTTTGCCTTCTGGCTCCTGCCTGATTGAGGCCTTTGTTTTCATGTGTACCACTTGTAGGCCGGCCTGAGAAAGCGACGGACGATGACGATTTAGTCATGTCATATTTAGTCGAAGATCGTGCTTTTTGTCTTGCACTTCCTCAAAATGCTTCTCTGGCCAGTGCAGTTGCGGCAGCGTCCCCTTCCGCTAAAGAAATCAACAGTGTCGAAGTAAAGAAACGTCAGATTTTTACTTGTCTGCTCGACTCCTGGGAGATTTCCATCCCGCGGCCGAGCCGGTTTTGGAGGTGTGGCAGAAAACGCACGCACACACGAAGAAAGGCAGAAAGTTCACATAGAACCCCCTTTTTTGCACCGGTGATGTCGTTCAGTGCCTCAGCGGTCGAGGAGACGGTTATGCATCTTTCGTGAAGCATTTGCAGGATGCGTCGGTTGCCAAGATGTTTGTATCGTCCACGATACCCCTCTGCTAGTGGGCTGCTGCCGTCTGTGCACGACGAGGTCGTGTCAACGGCGGCAAGACAGCATTCTACGTGGGGATCCATTTGCCACCCGGAGAAGAGTTCTGTTTCTTGTGGTTCTATGGGTGCTGCAGAGTTTGCCGATGAGAATTCAAACACATGGAGCTGGTTGCATGTTGGTCACCGAGGTTGGACTTGCTGCAGGAGGAGGTAAGGTCCGAGACGACAAGCATCCCGGGATGGGTTGAGCAGATCCACAGCCAGCCCTGCGGGTGGCCGGCCACTGGTGCAACTATGGGCCTTGCAGCACTCGGGGTCGTGATTCGTGAAGGAACTGGACGCCGATTCAGAAAGGTGACAAGGAGGGCGACTGAGGACGGGCTGGAAGCTGCAAACGGTCGCCAATGGGGAGGAGCCATCGCAGATACGACCAGATGCGTCTGGCGGGAGCGAGCTCCGGAAGACTGGGACAGCATAAACGATGATGAGCCATGATGAATCTGGGAAGCTGCGCTGACATTTAGACTCTGAGGACAAAAGGCCACGGACTGCCACGGTGTGTACTTTAAGCACCACCGAAACCATGTGCACGACACGTTTGAATCTTGTCAGTTCTAGCCAAGCACAGCAGCACGAAACCGCTGAGCATACCGCAGACATGTACAGAAAGCAGGTCTCTACCTGCAGGCTCAAGGTGCCAAGGTGGCTGTGGCAGCTGCAGGCTGCAGGCTCGGTGGCTAAATTCTCCTCACGACACTCACTAGCATATCATTGCGACATTGCGATCGATGGAAGACCTTTCCTTCTTTCTCTGCTGCCTCTTTTGAAATTTGCTGCCTGTGCTTCAGAAATTTCGCAGTCGCAGGGCCATGGCGCCGCGACGCCGGATCCTCGCCATCGCTTTGCTGGGGGCAGGTGCGAGCTGAGTTTGTCGGAGTATCCGATTGCCTTTTGCTGCCAGGAAGCTGCTGGGTGATTTCCCAGTCTAGCAGATGTTCGCGATGGAACTTGCAGGTCTTCCTCCGGCCATCTCTTGAGAACGTGGATGTCTTTCTGTGTGTCTGTGTGCGCGCGCGGGGTGCGTATTGGCATTTCAGGGCGGTGTGCCTTCGCTTCCGTCGCAAAAGTTTCAGGCCAAACCCCCAGCTTACCTGCAACATTAGCTCAAAATTAGTAGTAGCTCGTTGGTTGAATGCCACGCGTCATGTCGTCGCCGTCGTCGGGGTTGTGGTGGTTGTTGTTGTTGTAGTAGCCGCTACGGTTCACGGGAGGCATCTTGGCTGTGCTAACCAGGCTTCGGGCGCAACTCTAAAGGTTTGCAACGGGCTCCCTTGCGAAGCGTAAATAAAGGCCGTCTTTCTGCTTGAGCCCTTTGAAAGTGCTTCGGAGCCTCGTGCCTCTGTGAACTGCCGGGTCCCAACTCCCGGGCCTCCTTCGACAGCAAGTTCTGGACG